GTGCTAGAACACACAGTACAGAGAATCTACTACTGTGTGTAAGCCTTGATCACTCCACTATGTAACAGAGATTCCTGGCTATACCATACCAGTGAATCTAACACTGGGGAAGGGAGGGACCGCAGTGGGTGTCATACCATAGAGTCCACCTTCCAAAGCAGCCATTTTCTCCAGGGGAACCGATCTCTGTAAACTGGTGACGGGTTGTAATACTAGGAGATCTCCAGTCACCGCTTGGAGACTAGCAAACCTACTTAGTGAGACAGTAGCCACTAGGGCTCAATTAGCTGGCTCAGCGTGAGGCAGATCCAAGTGGTGAGACGGTGGCCACTCACAGTAGACAGTACTAGGCCTCTAGGGCTCAATGAGCTGGCTCAGCGTGAGGCAGATCCAAGTGTATGTATGTGTCATTCATTCCTCCCCCCCCCCTTTCTGTTTTTTGCAGACTGGCTCTTCAGCACGGTGATGGACATGTTGTGGATTATCTGTCACAGCCGGTCATTGACTACATCCTCAAGAGCCAGCTGTACCTGAATGCCTCTGGTTAGCTCCTCCCCGACCCCTGCCCTGGCAGTGCACTGAGGCAGACCTATCGCTCTACTTTCCTGCAGTCGTCCATCACATTTCTTTCTCTTTTTCTTCCTCACTGCCTCTTGCGTGCATCTGTCTTTTTTTTTCGCTCTGACTCTGATGTCCTGTTTCTCTACCCCCACCCCACCCCATGCAGGGAAGTGTAGCAGACAACAGCCAAACAAATGAGTACCCCAGTCCGTAATCCCCATTTCCCTGTCCTTGGGCGGGAAAACAGAAGCAGGTACCATGTGCCTAAAAGGGGGGGGGGCGGCTTTGATGTGTACCTTCCCAGCATGCATTTGGGGAAGTAACACTGTCCACCTGCCCAGCATGCCTTGGGAGCCAGGAAGGTTGTTCTTTTTTTCCTGTCTCACCGTAACCCATCAACAAAATAAATCTCAGTGGGACTTTTTATTTTCAGCGCTAATTCCCTTTTCCCCGGCGTTTTATTATCGTGAGTTGCTCTGTTTAAAATAGAACGCAGTTGGCAGAAGGAGAGTCTAACCCACTTGGTACAGTGCCCAGACTTTTTAGGTCAGCCGTGGAAGAATTTAGCCTTGATTTTTTCTTTTTCTCTAAGTGAAGCGGCTCAGATTCTGGACTCTGTTATCTGAAGCAAAATAATAATAATAAAAATGAGGGAGGGGGTTTCCGCTGGAGAAAGGATGTGAGAAGGGCAGAAAGTAGCCTTGTTTCTTATACAGTTGATTGTCCTGGTTGTAAATAGATACTCATTTTAAGGGGAGGGTGGATTTTAAATGGGGGTTTCTGTCGTGCTTTAGAACCTTTTACAAAGGGAGCACTTTTTTCTGGGTGGGGAGGGAGGAATAGTTCTTGAGCATTGCCTCTTAGGGTGAGGCAACCATCTTGTCGACCTAAAGTGTTCCTGTTGATCTGGCCCTGGATTGGCGACCACTCCCTCCCACCCTTCCCCACCCTTTCCTTGACCCAAAGCCTCTCATTTTGTCCAGTAACTCATTTTGGAGTTCCCCCATTCGTTGCGTCTGCTGTACCCTTGCTAGTTTTGCTAGCTCTGGCCAGGCTGGAGGAATTTGTGATTACCTGCCATGACCATCCATCCATCCTCTCGTGAGGAACTGTACTTGGTGCCACACACAGGGGTGTGTGAGTGTGTTGCTTTCCCCACATACGCACACATTTCCAGAAAGAGTTGTTCCTTAAGTCTTGCCTGAGCAAGAGAAGATTTCCCGCCCAGTTATTTCTACAAGAAATTGGGGTGTGTGTGTTTTTTTCCCCAGCTGCCACATGAATATAGAGTCATTCACAGATCTCAAAGTGTGGCAACCTGGTCATTTACTGAGATTAGCGCTAATGAGAGTCCCCGGAGGTTATAGGGCAGCGTCTGTAGTGGCAAATTGCAACTTCTGATACCCAAAACTGTCCTGAGCATTTGCGGACAGTCATACCAGGATGCCTGGGGGAAACACAGGGTTTTGAACCTGTCGTGCTTTCTAAGCTGAGTATTTTTGTTGCCTAGTGGCAGAACCAAGGGCAGACTTCAGAACAAGCACATGGGAAACCGAAAACAATTTGATAATCAAGATGTAGGGATGGGCTTCTTGATGCTTGGGCCACCGTCTGGCTCGGCAAGGCACACCCAATGCAGTCAGAATTCCCAGAGACCCACCACTGTCAGAGGCAGATGTACCAAAAGGCCAGTGTCTCTCTTTGATTTAAAAAAAAAATTCTACTCCTGGAAGGCTTTAGATATCCTCCATGCCTTTTAGATAAATTGCTCTTCTGCTGTCCTGTTGCACATTATCAACTGCTGTTCCGAAGTGCGCTGTTTCAGTCACACACAGCCCACAAGCCTCTGTTTCTCAGAAAACAGCTTCAAGCTCTTGCTGGAATTCCCACCATCACCACCACCACACCTCAAAGCCAACCTACAGAGACCAAAGCTGGCGACGGTGTTCAACAGTGATGGGAAAAGGCAGCACAAGACACCACCCATGCAAGTGTGTGCCGAAGCAGTCACTGTGGTGTTCCTCAAAGAGTCTCAAAGGACAGTTTGCATTGGGAACCGAGGATGAGAGCCAAGGAAAGCGAAGGAACGGACTCTCCGTACACTTGAACAAAAGCCACAAGATCAGCGAGCAGGCCACTTTCCAATTCCATCCAGTTTAGGGCAGCGCATGCCTTAGGAACATAGCATTGTGGTACAGATGATGTATATAATGTCTTAACTAGTCTCTTTTTTTGCCTTCATATGCTCAGTTATGCTTATGGTTGGGGGGGGTGGGGTGTAGCATAAAGGAGGGGGGTGCTGGTGGGTTTGGTGTGGAAAGGGTGAGAGAAAGCATCAAACTCTGGGGGGGTTAGCTGCACAGGGAGGGAGACGTTTATTTTCTGTCACTGAACTTGCAGTTTTAAACCACAGTATTTGCTTTATTTAAAAATAATAATCATAATAAAGGGAGGGGAAAACAGATTTGAAGATGCCGGTTTCACACTAATGGGCTATTCATGGACAACAGATAATTGTTGCGAAAGTAGTCATGGACACAAAAAAAAAAAGCAAAAATGTTTAAAATAATTGGCACAGCATTAAAAAACAATGTTAATAAAGAAAAATTATGCTAATAAGATTTGTGTTGGCCTTTACTGTTGTTGCTTGTTGCAGCAGGAAAAATCTGAAACTCTTACTGTGACAGGAGGCCTAATACCTGCGTTCGAGTCCTTCCATAGCCCAGGATAGAGTGGAAACAGGATACGAGAGCTCAGTTGGACAACTATCCCTTGCTGCCAGTGTCATAGTGTGTCCTTCAGTGTACCTTAGGGCTGCGATATTAACTCTAAAACATTTGCATGCTGCCACAGCAGATTAGTAGAGCACATGCTTTTCATGTAACAAGGTACAGGTCCAGCCTTGAGCATTTCCACCCAAGTATCTCAAGTAGCAGGGTTGGGAAAGACCTGTACCCAAAAGCTTAGAATGAACCTGCTGGTCTTTATTGATCTAGAAGGAGCAATAGTGTAACTCATCATAAGACATTATTATACTTTTTGTTTCACAGTGGTGTACAAAACTGGAACAGTGTTTTCTAGATCGCTAGCCAAGGATGACTGATCTATTAGATGTCTGGATAGGAAGTTCAGACTAACTTCCCAGCAGCTGGATAACCCAATTAAGCTCACTGCTATTGATCCTGGTGGTGGAGGAGGAGGAGATTGGATTTACACCCCACCCTTCACTCGAAGTCTCAGAGCAGATTACAAACTCCTTTCCCTTCCCCTCCCCACAACAGACACCCTGTGAGGTAGGTGGAGCTGAGAGAGCTCTGAGAGAACTGCTCTGAGAGAACTGTGACTGACTCAAGGACACCCAACTGGTTGCATGTGGAGGAGTGGTGAATCAAACCCTGTTCTCCCAGATTAGAGTTCGCGCACTTAACCACTACACCAAACAATGCTTTTATCCTTAAGATGGATAGCTAAGGTCCAAACCAGATGTTACAGCAACCATGGATCTGACTCATGGATACTGATACCTTTTTAGAACTGAAATTGACCGTTAAAAATACGATGAGGGCCTGATCCTAACTGGCCCCACTGCACAGCAGTACCATGGGATCTTATTCCCCCCCAACCCCCGCCATCTCAACTGCCAAAGTAACCACAGGGGAGGGGGAGACACAGGGGGAGGGGGAGAGCTGCTGGTCTATCTGCCCTGTAAGCCCCTCGCATCTTTAAATGGCTGAGTTCAGCTCTAAAATGGCATCAGCATCCACAGGTTCACCCCATGGACACCGTAATGTCTAGTCTGGTTCTAAGTTGCTGCTGGTAGGGTGAACAAAATGCCAGTAGCCTTAAGCAGCTCCCCAATATTGCATCAGAAATTCATTAGGAACTGCTGGGGAGGAGAGCTTGCTGATTTAGGGACACTGATTAATAAACTTCAACACAAGGTCCAAAACTTGCTTTGGGAGCTGGTTCTACCCAGAGCCCTTGCTTCGTGTCCCCCACCCCCAAATCCCATCAGATTTGATTTTGGCTTCCGTGCAGTAGGGTCTTGCTTCATCCAAGCTCTGTGGGCTTCTCCCAGCTCTGCTGCAGTTTTCTCACAAATCTGATTCGATAGAACTTCCTTTGAAGCTGGGAAACTGTGGAAGGAAATGTGTGTACTTCAACACACACAGAGTCAGGGTTTCTCTGTAAACAATCCTGGAAACTAGTTTGGCATGAGTCCTGAGAATGATCTGAGATCCCTAGGTTCTCCAGCACTTGGAATAACAGTTCTGAGTCGCAACAAATTTCTGGTGTACATTTACAGTTGCCAGTTGTGGGATGGGAAATACCTGGAGATTTTGGGGGTGGAGTTTGGGGAAGGGAGGGACTTCAGCAGGGTATAATGCCACAAAGTCCACTCTTCAAAGCAGTTGTTTTCTCCAGGGGAACTAATCTTGGTCATTGTAATAGCGGGAGAGCTCCAGGTGCTACCTGGAGGTTGGCAACCTTAGCACATATTTTCCCAGCATCCAAAATTTATCCTACCCTTTTGCAGTGTGAGTAATTTGGTTTTTGATGAAAAAGCAACTGGGGGAGGAATGAAAGTGAAGGACCATCCACAGCAAGAATAGATAACCGAGCACAATTAGTTTAGAAGAGCATGACTTCCATCTTATTACATTAAATAAGGCTGGGATAACCTGAAAGGATGCTGGGGGGTGTTCAGGTTCAGCTGTTGGTTACAAATTTTGGCTACATCCACACACTGAGCAGGGCACATTCTGCCGGTATATTTTCGAGTAACACAGTCTCTTGCATGCCAAGCCGGTCATGGTCAGCTTCTTCATCAAACAGCCCGGTCTCTTCTTTGCATCCCAGGAATGGGACATCTGGAATCTTTCCCAATGGTGGTGGCGTGGTTACATTGCTACCCACAATGAGGCAAACTGTCATCCAGGCCTGATGAACTGAACTCGAAAAAGATCCATTCAGCTGCGTCACAGACAGCTAGTCCCTAGGAGGCCTGGATCTCTCCTATAAGCCCAAACCCTTGGCCTAACCCTAACATTTGTGTGCAAGACCTGATGAACGGAACCCATATCAGTCTGCCCCCTCTGCCCTCAAAGTCTTCAAGGTCTCTCAATGGGCTGTATGTTGTAGCATTTTGTGGGGAGATTATCACGGATCTCCTCCAGGTTCTTGATGTCGGCAAGGATCTCAGTGATGCTCCTCTCTAACGTTTGGATCCGGAGTTTCTGCCGGCTGGCTGTTTCCTCCAGCTGCAACATCAGTTCTTTTAACTCGATGTTTCTCCTTCTGGCCTTAGCAAGATTCGCTTCAAGCATGGTCACACCTTGCTCGTCCACAGCCTGTGGTTGGTCTGTATGAAATGACAACGGGGGGAACGGACAGCCTGTAAGTGAAACTATCTGAAGGCACATATTCCATGGGTGCCCAATGCTACTTCCACATGCAAACAGGTCCTCCATGTACAAGCCCAACTGCTCTAATGATTGGACCACACTTAACCCTGTTCACAAAAGCCTCCATGGCATGCAAAGCTCTCAACGTGGAGAATAAGTAAAATGACGGCTTCTCACTCTATCATCGGGTGCAATTGCCCCCCACTCACATCCATGTGATCTAAGGTCTACTTGTCTAACGCCCAATGTGCACAGTCCCAATTTCAATTGGGCCGTAAAGAGCACACAGATCCACTTCAAATGACAAAGCCATACCCAACATCGGGACAAAAAGCAGGCACAATCCCAACCTCCTGAATGCAGACTCACACATGAGGACTTGTTGCCTCTCTTTATAATCTGTGCGTAGAACAGCTGTCATGTCCCTCTTGTGGTGGCTCTGTTCTCTCACACATGAAGTAAATTAATTCTCATATAGATCGAAATGGACAAGTTATCTTGAGAGTCCCGCAGTCCACCACAAGAATGTAATTAAGTTGTTTTAACTAATCAAGCGAACCTGAGACAGGCTCAGAATGTAGACCGTTTAGGACTGAAGTAATTTTCATTTAATTCCCATATGTATGTGTGCAATTTTCCAGAAACCTCTAGATCAAAGACGCTTTAAGTGCACACTTTGACCACAAAAATGCTTCTGGGTCTACACAGGATGAAGAGGACGAAATCCATAATGTCTGCTAAGGTAACATAAATGGGGGTTGATTTTATAGGGGAGAATCAGCAATGTGCGAAGGGTTCAGTACCCCTACACCGACATATTTTCTATGACAGTTATACCCCTCTCTTGCATCACAGAGCTGAGAACTCTGTGTTTGTCTCACAATGTGTAATTCTTCCCCTTAGACCACAAAACATAACCCTGCCAGGAGAAGAGAGAGCAAGGAGAGGTCAAGCAACTAAGAGCCAAAACATCTGGGACTGCCATGCTATGAGCCAAAACATCTGGGAATGGCCAAGAGGTTCCCCCTCCCTAGTGCAGACACTTGGAATCCATCATTGGATCAGGACCATGGTATGTAGTAGGGAAACCTCCCCTCCAGTGCCATTTGACCAGTTGAAAGTTCTGGTGAGTTGCTATTTGCCTCATTGGGGCAAAACACAATAGGCACTGTATACTGGACTGGTGTATTCACCCTCTCAGATTCTACATCATGAAAATGGCACAAAGGGGAAAGGGCCCAATTCTGCCCTCCCCTGGCCCTGATTCAAAATGGGATTCCCCCCCCCTGCCTTTAAAAAAAAAAAAAAAAACTTTTGGAGCTCTGTGCACAGAAACCCCAGCATTGTGTTTGTTTGGGCCCTTGGGCGTGCATCTAGACTGGAACTCCAAAGGTCTTAGCATAATTCCCAGCCACGCAACAGAGCACTGAGAGAAGCTATTTATCCCCGCTTGCATTGGATAGCCGCCACTCAGTTTTCCTATTCTGGTTCATCTGGGCTGTAAACCCAAATACAGCAAAACGGGTATCAAAGCAAGACCCTGTACAATGGAAATGTTGCATTTCAGAGAGTTAAAAAGGCACAATCAGTTGTCTTTTAAACTGACGAACTGACTAATGAATTGATCTATTTATATATAATGAAATTAATTAATCAGTTATGTACCAAGGCTTCGTTAGAATAGCGTTTTTGAGGTATCAGAAGCAATATAAAAGCCACCCGTGTTTCTTTTTCATTCCTCATCACGACAACATGCAAGAACCAAAACAATCTTTTAAAAAGCCAACCCTTAATGCTCAGCCTGAAATTTTCCCTCATGGATTAAAACCACCTTCTACAGATTAATCAGTGGAAGTTTTATGCAGTTAATCAACTGATGAAGCCAAGGAATGATTGTGGCTTTAATCATTAAAAAAAAGCCTTGTCTCTTACCCAGACCCATAGCCAGGATTTTAAATAAGTCCGGGGGCACCCCACACACACCCCTGCACACACACCCAAGGGAGCGCCTGGGCTGGATGGGAAGTCGGGGGGGGCTTGGCAATAAGTCAGGGGGCCATGCCCCGAGATGCCCCACTGTAGATACGGGCCTACTCTTACCCATCAGGCGCAGAACGTCTTCCAAGGCCCCCAGCACCCCTTGGACAGCACCTCCGGCACCTGCCGCATCTGCTTTTGCTCTCTGGGACATCTGAACAGCCTTGGTAAAGGACAACAATCACAAATATTAGCGTCTTTTCTCCAGAATCCCTTTGAAAAAAGACAGAAGAGTTACAAAACTCACCTCCTGTGCCATGGAGGCATCCAGGTCAACCTCCAGCCCTTTTCTTTGCAGTTGGCTTTCCACTTCCCGGGCCTCTCTTTGCAAAGACATTATCCCTTTCTCCAGAGCCAAGACCCCATCTGCTGTCCTGTTGGCTTCCAAGGTCAGCCTTCCTATTTCCTGGAGAAGCAAAGACCACAAAACAACAGATGGAAATACTCATGAGTCAGGAAGGTCCCCGGCAACGAAAATCAAGAAAGGCATCATGAGTATTTGAAACAACAGGTTCGGTGGCTTCATCCGTGGAGCCACTCAGCAACAGTTTAGACTTCAACAAATCCAAAAAATCCAGTTAGACATATCAAAAATAGTACTGAGTGAAAGATACTGGTAGAGATATCTCCTTTGATGGGTCCCATTAGATTCCCTGTATTGCTGGCCCTGTTTCCATCAATCAGTTTCATGTTTCCATTACAGCCTCAACGAAGCCCCCCAGCTTCAACTCTAACCAGCACTGGATTCTACAGGGTACATACGTAGACCTGTATACAGAAGGGGTGTCAAACATATGGCCCGGGGGCCAGATCGGACCGCCGGAGGGCTTCTATCAGACCCACAGTGCAACTGGCTGTCTTCTTCTGCTTCTTCCAGTTCTGCTGCTGCTGCGTCATCGTAGATTTGCAGCTTACGGATATACACCTGAACAGCCTACTCAAGATTGCAACAGCACAGACATTTTGATGCAATAATCCAGTGCAAGAGGTGTCAGTTATCAGACACTGTTAAATAAACAAAATATTGCAAGAGTGCTGTTTTAAGCATGTTTTTATTTTAAGTAAAAAAACACACGTTTGCGTCCTCTGTAAAGTTTATATCTCTGCTACCTGGCATTACATTTTATGGCACACATGGCCCGGCCCAACAAGGTCTCATTTATGTCAGATCTGACCGTCATAACAAATGAGTTCGACACCCCTGGTATAGAGCCAGTGGACTGCTTGAGCCTTTGACAAACTGGAGCCTAAGCCTAGGAAGAGAGTGACAATATATTTTAGTCTACACTGTTCTGGGTAACAGATTGTGAGCCAACCTGGGCATCCAGGATGGAGGAGGATGCAATTTCAAGTTTACAAGGAAACCAACCTGTGTGGCTGGGCAGCCAGGACTGCTCTCCCACCTGCCCAGGAGGACTCCTCTCAGTGCAACTCCTTCCATTCCCACATACCTGATCAATGCCCACAGCGATCTCCTTTGCCTCCCCAGCCATTCTTCGGGCCTCCTCTGCTTCCGTAACAGCCGTGCCCAAGGCCTCTTCTGCACGCCTGGTCTTCTCGTTGGCACTGGTGACCATGGTGCTTATGAGAGGAAGCTTCCGCATGGCCTCTTCGGCTTCCCTTTGCTTGTCGCCTACCTGCAGATTGAACTCTGCGAGCCAAAGGGCGGGGGGGGGGGGAGAAAACCCATCTGAGTAAAGAGCCCACTGAATGGAGACAACACTCCAATTTGTGCCAGCGACAGGGAGGCAGAGAAAAACCTTGAGCCGAAAGCCCGGAACTGGACGAAAACTGGCCGCAGCTTGACTGAATCATTGGATTTCATCTGTTGAGCAAAGATGGCTGAGTGGAACTAGGAAAGTGCAGGTCGGAACCAAGGGTAGTTGAGATGGCCCAGAAGCAGCCCAGGACGACTGGTCCCTGCAGGGTTACAAGCCATTGCTGCAGGAACCGCTCAGCCCAGAACTAGCTAGCAACACCAACGAGCGATGTCAGCTCACCCACTGCCAACATCTATCCCTAGTGCCCCTGGTCAGGGCAGAGGTGAGTGGTACCTGTGGTACTGGCAGAGCTACTGGGCTTGGCTCTGCTTGCTCTTGGCTGCCCATTGGTGCCCCCAGCAGCAGCCCGCCAGGGACTTTCCCTGTAAGTTAAATGGCCGGTACATCCCCATTCAGCAGCTGCTGCTGCTCTCTGCCATCAACCTGGAGCTGACTGATTAATTAACTGTGCCCTCCCACAAAGCCCAAGAGGTCCTCAGGGTAGCTCACCACTAGGGTTGCCAGGTCCACGCTGGTAGCGGGGCATCCCCCACTGCCAGTGGGTGCTTCACACCACTGCTCAGTGTTGGAAACATATGTATTTACAAGGTCTGACAATCCAGTCATTATAGGGTTAACTTGTTTACCTAGTATTGCTATTGTTTAGACTGACCTGGAAGGGATACCTGGCACTT